CCCCCCCCCCCCTCTCTCTCTCTCTCTTATTCCGTCTAACTCGCAACTCGATCCTTTGATTGTCAGGACGGTAGACAACCGGGACGACTTTCTTTTCCAGACGGCATACAGACAGAGCACGTAGATCTACCAGACGTACGAACGATGCGTGACGAGTACCGCGCCTAGATAAATGCACATGCTTGGAATCCTGGGTTCAAGATAATCCGATTGACATTCACGTGAAACAGTGTTGAGGGGTTGGAGGTCGAAAGGAAAAAGAGAACTTGAAAGAGTTGGCAAATAGACACGGGATTATAGTTATTCTCGGCGGGTGTAAGATGCAATATTGATGGACCGATTTATTTCAATGTTAATGATTAATAAAAAAAAAATTTAGTGGACGACCATCGATCAATTTGATTTTTGAATTTAAAATGCATAGATCTTTATATAAAAATAGAATCCACTTCCTATTGACATTTTCAGAAATATCAGGCTCTGTTTTTGTAGCGCTAGTTACGTATAAAATATCGTTAACGTAAGGGGTATGCTGTCTGCATAATTGTGTTGCGCGCTTAAAGTTTCGGATATACATATGCAAGCGGTTTTAGAATGGGAGAGAGGGGCAATGAGAGAGGGAGAGAGAGAGAGGAAAGAGATACAGTTCGGTGCGAATATATTATTTATATGCATAGAGATTGAGGATAACGGAGAATGGGATTTGTCAAGATGAACTAATCTGGATAATTAAGGATTCGAAGCGAACGGCGACGACTGGCCTTAAGATTACAAGACAGAAAGTCGTCGTTGTTGGTCGGCCTGTCGCCAGACATGCTGACGTTTCTACTGGCTGTCTAGCCGGCGTCTAGATCGTAATAAATGCCATGCAGACATTCGATTCGAGACAGGAACGCTTGTAGGTCACTGACCATGGTTGGGCCGATATCTTCGTTAATACCGATACGGTATAAAGACATTACGGTTGCTACACGAAGAGAATTTTTAATTAAAAATTACCGTGAAACTCACAGTAACCATAGGACACCATGGCATTTCATAATATGTTATCTATATATTTAAGAACAATTCACGAAAACATACTAAAAAGTAAGCATGATACGTCAGCTTTTACTGAAGTGTACGGTAAAATTTTTGAACCTTGAAAATATGTAGTGTAAAAGTATAGCTTTTACCTTGTCGAATTTAAAGTCATCTAAAACAGTCGAGTTATCTCGTACGTTAGATTCAATTTTACCGTGGAGTGCACTACTTTTCGAAACTTTGAAGTCAACCACAAAAAACATTGTAACATTGCGAGTCGCACAATTTATTTGTAACCACTCAAAATATCATATGTTATAAGTAATAAGTAATGTCTCACAGTTAATAGTTTCTACGGTAAATTTTATCGTGAATTTCCTAAAAAAATTAAAGAAAAATTCTCTTCGCGTATAGCTATGTTATTCGAATTATGTCATGAATTTTCGGGAGGATTATATTGTTGAGTTTTGAAATTCCCGCCACTTTTCGTTGTTACTTTGTCGCCGTGGTGGATCCACGAGAAGCTATGACGGACAGGAATATTGTTTTACATATAAATTTGAATTATTGTCATACGACTTATGGGCTTGTAATCTCGTATGACGGTTGTGTGACTAAGTTTCCTTAATAGTCGTTGAAATTCATAAGATTGAAGCATGCGAGTGTTTTGAGTGATTTTATTATATTAATGGATACGATCAAGTGATTTCTATTATTAATTGTTTCTTTTTCTTTCTCTTTTTTTATGTGAGTTTAGTCAAGGCCAAAAAGCTATCGAGGACATAAAATTGAGAGTACTGGCGCTTACTGGAAGATTCAATTTGAGCACGAGTCTCAATCAAGTCCAACGTGAACGACTAACCATGTTTTCGCCATCTTGTAAGTTTGTTTAAAATTGTATAATTAATCCTAGAGCGGATACTCTCTTCCATGTCACGTATCTCTTCTAGGGTTAATATAATGAAGAAAAGAATTTTTATTGTATATTATTTTATTATAGGCCAGATTCCAAGAAACACGGATCCGGAAGCGTGGGCTGATCCATTCCTGATGAACATGCATTTCCAGCTGAACTTGACTTCCACTGAGCACGTGGTCGCTGCGAAGTTGCGACTGTTCAAACTTCCGCAAGACAATCTAACGGTGATCACAGGAAATGTGGGTACTACCGACGAGGATGAAGAAGACGAGAAAAAGATCAGGATATCTATTTACTTCTATACGAAATCCTTGAAGAAGCATCGCTGTAAGTAATAAGTAGGTTAAATGTGCAAGGCGTCATTCTTTGTAGTCGTCGATCACGTGACAACATTTAACTAACCTCGATGTCTTTTATTTCTATGAAATGTCAGCGAAAAAACGCCTAATAGATTCCGTGGTCACGCCGTTAACCTCAGAAGGAAGTCATCTAGCTCTCGACGTACGACAGAGTCTTCGATTCTGGCAATTAAGACAAAGAAACGGTCATGGAAATGGCAACAATCACGGCATAGTTGTTCAAATAGAAGATCAAGATGGCCGACCATTAAAACCAGCAGAGTACATACAGCAACCCTCCTGTCACACAGCAGAAGACGATGCGGATGACAAGGCATGTGAGTGTGTGGCCTAACAGTACTAACTGATTTAAAACGACTTTTCTTTTTGCCTGAATATAATTCTTTGGAACCTCACTCAACTCACATCCCATGTGTGTGCACTTCCTTAAATCGAGATAGAACAGTTCTCTGTATCTCTCTTGCTCCCAAAAATGCATTGAAAATTGTATTGCTTTCGCGTTTGTCATGCATAATGGTTCGCTGCGCATGCGCACGAAGCATCACGCGCACGTCAACTAACGGAATGACCGAATGGCACGCAGGATGAAGTTTTTAAAAATTTCTTTTTCTTTTACAGATCAACGACAGCCTGCACTTTTCGTCAGAGCCTGTTCTCGTTACGTTCGCGTCGTAAATGGCGAGACAGTCACATATGTGGATTGTCGATCGTCCCAACATAGAAAGGGGTGAGAACTTATATTGAAGAGAAATAATATTAAATATATTATTATAATAATACCAGAAAGTGGAGACTAAAATAATGTATAGTTAGATAGTAAGAGGGACGGTGGACGTTGGGGGGGGGGCGCCTTGTGGAAGGAAGAAGAAATCTCATTAATTGACGTTACAATTAATGGTAATGAAATTATACTAATAAACGGGAGTATTCACTCGTGATGTCGCTATGGACGTCGTTTATATTATACACGGGGGAAACAATCTCTTAAAAAGTCTTCATAACTTAATTTTCGTGTGTGCTCTTTAGATTGACATTTATTAGCTTTAGCGGGAATTATAATTAATATATATATATATATATATATATATATATATATATATTAATTCGTTTATTAAAGAATGCATGGTCCCGCCTATCTATCATATTGCATGTATATCAGTGAAAGTGCAAACAACAGAGCGCGAGTATAATAATATAAAACTGAGGACACTTATATGCTGCAGGAAGAGTACGCTGATTGATTATTTTTTTATAATTAAATTAAAGTTATTCAATTAATTAAGCGAGTAGTAAACGCGAGTAGATATATCGTTTAAGTTATGTAAAATATTATATATGTAGATATGCGATAATGCACAATAGATTTGACTCTGTAGGGTGTAAATATTGGTGATTAGCTTTTTCTGTTTCAATTTTTCGTTCTATTAATACACGATAAGCGAATTACTTTATCTTTCTTGCTGCTTAAAAATTAATTCTATTTTTACCTTTTTTTATATCTCTTTTGCTCTCGATTTTATAATATAGAAAGTTATAGCGTACAGCTGTCGATGACTGATACAGCCAAATGTAGATGTTTAAGCTTAAGTAATATTTATGTTCATTATTATTAATTATATTGAATTTCATATAAGAAGTTTGTACGAACATTCATTAGTGTGGTATTAATATATATATATTTGTAAGTGAGTACTTTAATTGGGAAGGATCAATCTGTGTTGTATATAATGTATATTAATTTTTTTCTCGTCGAAATAAATATATTGGGAGTTGGTGGAAAATAATTTATTTAGTAATGAAGTGAACCTTTCTTTATAAATATTATTCTAATGTGTATATCGCTTGGTAACTCTTTGGGTCATAGTGGTACATACGTATATACCACCTGTATTCCATGGCTCTGACGTTGCTGATTATTGTCGGATTAGTATGAAACTTGTCACTTGGGTGTTTTTGTAGTGGCTGATTACGAGTTCCAGGCCAGATTTGCAAAATTCCTAGATGGCGCCCCGATACGGCGCATGCAAATATACTACGAACCTCGAGAAATACATTTCAGATTGACCGATGAAATTCACAAAAGTTTTTATTCACCCCATGCGATGGATTGCATGATCCTGTGTACAATTATGAAATCCTCAAGTTCTGATGATGAATTTGTAATTAGCGATCCCAAAACCCCCCGAGTAGCAATTTCCGAGAGAAATCAGCCAGCAGAAAACTGTATGCCTCAAAGGGTTAATACTGCTGCCACTTATACATAACATACATATTATAATAGAACGAAATATATTACCTCTTTTCTGTGCATGCCATAAAAAGGAGAGCAAATGTTACTGGTATAGATTCTCTTTTTTATGGTGTCTGCAGAGATGAGTAGGGAGATGCACAACGCTACGGTTATAGGCGATACCAAAATCATGGCGCTAAAACGTAACAGCAAGTCTGGAAATAGGATTCTGTGTTCATCGCCTCCGTCGACAATGCGAATCCCGTCGTAGCCGAGCTAAAGGTGAACACCAACGTGTAGCTTGGCGGGCAGAGGTTCTCCGCTATTCACCGCTGGTTACCAAACAACCCTTAGAACGAGACCGAGAACTATAGAACTTCTCAAGAACTATTGAAAAAGCCTATGGTTGAAATATTTTTAAGAAAGTGCAGTGCCAACTTGACACCCATGTGGCACCTTAATTTAACCGGAAGAAGGTTATAACTTATAATAAAGTTAGACCAAGCACAACGCTTGGTTGATTTAGCTACAACTTCATCGTCAGGTATAGGCCGCAACAAAACTTTGAATTCTATCGTAGTTGTAAAACTTTTTAATTGAACGACATTAATTAATTATAGTTGTAAAATTGTACATTTTTTAAAGTTTTTAAGGTAGTAGTATGTGACATTCAAAGTTTCAACATTATTTCATTTTTTTTTTTTTTATACGATAGAAAATAAAATAAGACTTATTTCATTTGTTTATATGCTATTATTGGTAGCTCAAAGTATATTACATTTTTTTAAATCCATTTCTACATATGTACAATTATGTATTGTCAACAAAAATGTTAATAAAGTTCACATAAACAATTTACACAATATCATTTATGGATTAATTTCTTAAAGAGCTACTCGTTATATCTTTAATATACTTATCCAATTATCATATACATTTTGATTCTTTGTAGTTCACTTTTAAACGGGATATTATGAAAAACGAAAAAAATATTTTAATTATACTGAGCTTAAATTATATTTATAAATATTATAGTGAAATTATTGTTTATTAGAATTTTAATGGATAAAAATCTATTTTATAAAAGTTGTTGAATAGTTTTCCTTTATTAAAAAGATGATGAGCAACAGGTTGAAGCCAATCATCGCATTAGTCGAGAGAGATCACATGATAAAATGAGTAAATAAACAACAGTCGCGATTCGCGATTGTTTATCATCAGTTTTGTGCTTAGTTCGAGTGACATTTTTTGGCTATTGCTATTTTTCGTTTTTTTTTTATTTTTTTGACAGAAATTTCTAGCTTAATCAAGTTCAGAGAATAATCGCGCATGTAACACTAGTTGAAACAAAAAAACACATGCCACATTTACTTTATTTTCAATCGCGATCAAAGTTATTTTAATTGCATCTATAAAACGACTTATTTAAAAATGTTCATTAGTTTTATTATTTTTTCGCAGATTCTGTATTGCAAGATTGTTTTCACAATAAAAAAGAGACTGATAATACTACTAGTGATTTTCACTGTGACATTAATAATTATGATTATAATGTAAGAGAAGTAGAAGAAGAAGCCTTACAATACATAGCTGACTATGTAGCACATCGTTTTAGAACAAAACATTCTAATCTTGGCTCACAGACGGGCCAGTCATCTCTCAAAGAAAAGTCTGACAACTGGATTAATTATTTGTCCAAAGGACATTTAATAATTCCATCTGAAAATCTTCTTCATGTCGTTAAAGTCGTAAATAAACTTTTTCTAGACATGCATGGAGATGGCTTATCAAAAGAGAGTTTAATTTTTAATAAATTAATTACGAAAGTACAAGAGTATGAAAATAGTATTAAATTACCCAAAGAAGTTTTATCTTGCATTGTGAGAACGAGGATTACGTGCGACTACGATATTTAAATAAAAATCTTAAATTAAAAAATAAGAGAATAAATCAAAAGAAATTGCAAAAACTAACTAATGTTGCGTATGATAATTGTAATGTTACTAAATAACAAATTTTAAAATACTTGAATTGGTCTAATTTTATTATATCTTTTCTCTGTATAACTGTTCTGTTCTATTAAGATAAAATAATTTGGTTTCAAGTAATAGATGTAAAAACAACAGTTTAGTTCTTGATAAAAAAATGTAATACCTTATTTAGAATTGAAAAATTAAAACATACTTTTTAATAATGCTGGTTCAAAATATATAAAATTAAAAAAATAGCATATTCTTATAAAAAAAAAGAAGACTTTTCCACTCAGTTTCACAAAAAAAAAAAAAAGAAATATATTATTTTTGTTGTCAAAATTTTGAGTAATTCACAACAAATTTACATTTAAATTTATTAATTTAAATTGAGTTAATAATTAATTTTAAAGTATTATTTTGTATAAATAAGTAATAAAAAAAATGTTTGACTATTTAGCTAGAGTTTGCTCCGCACACTTTGATATGAATAGTTACAAGAAGCCTCTTATACAAGTGATGTTAAACTATTCACCAAAAACAACTCGAAAACTAAAAGACGATGCAGTTCCTACAAAATACTAGTTCGCTCGGCAACGCCTACATCATAATAATTTACATTCGGAAGTTATATATGAAGTTACATATGATTAGTAATAAAAAGGATATTAACTTATCCTTCCCAACTGTGTACAAATAATTATTAATTTATGGTTTGTGTTTATTTATTAAAGTCTGGGCCTTCCGCGTTAGAAACAAAATACTAGTTCGCTCGGCCACGCCTACATCATAATAACTTATATTCGGAAGTTATATATGAAGTTACATATGATTATTAGCTTATCCTTCCCTACTGTGTACAAATAATTATTAATTTATGGTTTGTGTTTATTTATTAAAGTTTATCTACTTTTATTGCTTTCAATTCAACTATGTATGAGCGTATTCAAAGTAAATTAAGAAATTAAGCACGTTCTGTTATTAAAATCCAATTACGAGTATGCTTACAACATATAAATAGCACATTTACAATGAATTATTTGTAATTTATTATTGCGATGAAAAAAAAAAACTCTAAATAATTTATAACAAACTGTTATTGACAAGCAAGTGAAGTTTAATTACTTTAATTTTGTTTATGATCGCAGTTAATTTAAATGTTTGCTTCTTAAGCATTTCAATTTACCACGCGTAGTGACGTTGTTACGTCCTATGCGTGAGCGACCGTATGCGGGAGCATCAGGGAGCTAGCATAGGTGTTGAGATCAAAGATCACGTAGAAGGTATTGGGTTCTTGCCACTTTAAGGTGCTAAAGCACGCCTATTTGCGTTTATGTCCCTTGGTCGATAGTTAAGATGAGGATCACAGACAGGTACTAAATATATTGATTTGGAAAACTCACTCGTTCTACGGGAGTTTGGTTGAAGCTACTGGTAAAGGGTTTATCTGGATTTAGGAGCTCATAGGTTCAGATCTCGAAATTAAGAGAAGAAGGTATAGTTTAACTAAATATAATAAAACAATAGGTTAGAATACATGTAGCCGTTACAGTAAGATGTAGGAGAGAGTATGTTAATCTACTAACATAGCGAAATTCTAATACAATGCATGTGTGATCGTCAACTTGTGTAGTATGGGTTACAAAGATAGATATATATTGTAACAAGAATGTTACTGCAGGCTCCCCTCCGCTTCCTGGCTCGAGGTCCCATCGGCCTCGAGTATTGCGTTTCATCGTTAAGTATAAGTAATTGCGTTTATTTAGTTTCTTTTAGGTTCGTTGTATTTAGCGTTAAGATCCCTTCCCTCCACCCCTCCCTCTCTGCCACCATTCCCCTTTCCCCCCGTAGGGCACTGGCTCGAGGACCACCCAACAACACCAGCAACGAGGACATCAACGTGGACCTGCCACGAGAACAGCACCCCTGGAAGGACCGCGAGAGCGGCTACGTGGCCGAGGCAGCGGAAGGCAGGCCAATTACGAGTATGCTTACAAGATATAAATAGCACATTTACAATGAATTATTTGTAATTTATTATTGCGATGAAAAAATAACTCTAAATAATTTATAACAAACTGTTATTGACAAGCAAGTGAAGTTTAATTACTTTAATTTTGTTTATGATCGCAGTTAATTTAAATGCTGGCTTCTTAAGCATTTCAATTTACCACGCGTAGTGACGTCACCCTGCCCACTCGCTTCTGATTGGTGAGACCACTTTGTATGCGCATGGTCTCACCTTACTTCTTTACACCATGAGTGGAGACACATTTTAAGGTTAGGGAATACGGTGTGTTGGTTACATCAAGTGGAGTGTGGTGCAGATTAAGAACAATTGAGAATGAATAAAGTGCTTAATACATTAATTTATAAAAGAACAAGTCGGGTTCTATGGCAAGAAAGTAAGAGATTCGCTGGTCATAGTAAATGGGCGAATATAAAACACATAAAGGGTCAGAAAGATGCTGAAAAGTCGTCGTTATACTTACAGTATACAAGAAGAATGAAAATTGCTATTGCAGGTTAATATTATTATGTGTTGCATTGTCTAATAATGTAATATCGTAAGAAGAATACTCAATGGATAACACAAATGCATCTTATATTGAATGTTAATTTTGCTAAAACTTAATGGTTAGGTCTTTCATCTAATCGTGATTTATTTTGCAGAAAGTGGAGGTATTGCAGATCCTGAGAAAAATCTAAAGCTTTTGCAAATAATAGAGCAGGCAAAAAAGTCGAATATGCCATTGTCTTCGATAAATAATTTTTTAAAAAAACAGGAGATGGCTAAACAAAATACTCAATCGAGTACAGTGGATATACGTGGGCCTGCTGGTTCTATAGTTATAATAGAACTTCTCACAGATAATATCAGTCGTGCAAAAAATGATATGAATGTTTATATTAAGAAATTTAAGTATGTTTTGGAATTTTGAAATTTTATTGTTGATCTGTGTTATTTTAATATTATACTCTGTCTTGTTATTCTACTTTCAGGATGTCTTTAGCTGATCACACAGCAAAAAATAATTTTGATCATAAAGGTATTGTTATCACTAACTTACTTAATGATATTGATACTGCTACTGAACATGCTATTCAAGCTGGAGCTGAAGATGTTCAGGAAGTTGAAAATGAAGATAAGAAATATTATCAGTTTACATGCGATCCTGTGCTTTTACAAAAAGTACAGGGTGTCTTAAGCAATTTGAACTATCAAATTTTATCTGCAGATGAGGAATATGTGCCCAAGATACAAGTAACTTTAAATGAGAATGACAGAAGTCATGTTGAAAAATTTGTGACAAAAATCCGAACTTCGGAAGAAGTTGTTAAAGTACATGATAACATAGCTTAATTACTGCCATAGTGAATTTTCTGTACATAATGTAATTAAATCATGATTTGTTAAGAATATGTTGAGTAAGGTACATCGTAGTACATAATAAAGATAATGAACAATACCAATATACTTTGTACAAGAAATTTTTAAAAATATCTTTCTAGAAATTTTAGTTTTACCATACTTGTTTTTATCAACTTCGTATTTATTATTTCACAATTATGCATAGTTGTTCAGCATTGATAATTAATTTTTGTCTAAAAATAGACATTTTGCTTAAATAAATATTTTAAATTTGTAATGGGTGCCAGGGATCATTTGATATCGGCACCATATCCTTTAATCTCATTTATATTTGACCCATTGAAATGAAGAATGGGGCTACGAGCAAAGAAAGATTTGACGATTTTCTTGTTTTTTCGGTGTCTATTCCAGGGGCTATGAATATTACATTTCAACTCCAAATTAGTAACTTCTCCTTGAAATTCTTCTGTTTCATCTCTCTTCGACGGTCTCTCGACGTGTTCCGTACTTTCCCTTTTCCTCTTTGTATTTTTTCTACTCTCATTAAGTTCCTCATTTTCCAGAGAAATCGAATCAGCTGCTGTGGCATCGCCAATAAATTTTCGACTTTTCTTTTCTTTCTTCTTAACATCAACTTCCAGTATGTCTTCTGGTAACTTCTCCAAGTTCTCCTTTCCTTCCTCTGTGGTTGTGTCCACTTTTGGTTCTTTCTTCTTTTTTTTTAGCATCTCTTCTACAAAAGATTCCACTTCGGGTTTCTTGTCTTTTTTCTTTTTCTTCTTTTTCGAAAATTCTATGCCTGGTTCATTGTCCACCAGCATGATTACGGGTGCAACGGCTTCCTCCTTGTCCTTTTTCTTCTTTTTCTTCTGTTTTGGCGTTTCTGCCTCTTCAACGTTTATGATCTCACTTTCAGAAACAATAATTTGGTTCATTTCAACATTCACGTTGTCGACCTCTCGGTCTTCCTCGGGAGCTTCTTGAATAGTCTCTAGATTTGACATCCTTCTTTCTTTTTTTCTTTGAGCTTTCTTACCCTTCCGCTCATTTACTTCATTATCATTTATTTCCTCGCTAAGGATCTCTATGTCTAAGGCCTCGTTCACAAAACCAATTGTTTCATCAGGAGTCTGTTCCAAATTTTCAATCCTTTCTTTTTTTTTGGAATTTTCGTTCTCAACCTCGAATTTATCCAATTTCCTCTTTGCCTTCTTCTTTTTCTTCTTCTTCTTCTCCTTCTCCACTTGATCAGTACTGTACTCCACCTTATTATTGAATGTGACTCGTTTCTTTGTGTTTGTCTCATCAGTTATGTCCAAAGCATTGTTGTCCACACCAAATGCTACTCTGGACACTTCAAATTCAATACCATTGCAAGTATCATCGGCAGGAGTGTCTAGATTTAGAGCAATATTTACAAAACCTTTGTCATGGATAGAAGTATTTGAATCATCAGTGATTGTTATAGTTTTCAATGAAATCGATTTTGACCTCTTTGGTTTCTCAGGATAGTCCAAATCTAATCCTGGATTTTCAAATACAAATTCACTTTTTCTTTTCTTTGGCATGGATTGTTCTTTCCCAGGACTGTTGAAATCCAAAGCAGGATTTTCAAAGACAAATTTATTTTTCTCCTCCTCACACTGAGACAATTCGATTTCTTGTTTTATATTATTAAAACCAAAACCTACGCGTTGTTCTGTTTCACTATCATAAAAATTATCTTCTGCATTCACTTCCCCATTGTGTTTCTTTACAAAGATTGGCAACTTATTCTTGAAGTAGTCACTGATATTACCACCCTTAATAGTAAGCACTCCACCTGTATTGTCTTTACTGCCAATAGGCTCTGTAATTTCTGTTGGTGTATTTATACTTTCAGCACTGATCTTTGCTATTGGATCTTTCTTTCCCAATATAGTAGCAAGGTCTTTGGCACTATACTTATTAACATCCTTTCCACGAGTAAATTTATGGTAGTGTACTCGAGCACGACTTAGCTTGGATTTAACTTCTAATGATTTACCACTGAGCTCACCCTCCTTACTATTAGGTTTTACTTCAGGTCCACCATCTGTTTGTAACTGGGATAAGAATTCATTGAAATCTATTTGATGTTGAGTCCATTGATCACCATTGTCCTTGTATCCGATACCTAGAGCCAATATTAAAATCTCTTATCAGAATACTGAAACAGATATATGTAATTTTGAATATCCCAAAATTCTATATGTACCAGCCTGATCATTCTTGAAACCGACTTTGACATGTTCAGTCATTCCCTGTTCATTGGCACCAAGACCTTTTCCCCTGGACCATCCCATTTTCTCAAGCATTTTTTGCCCAAACTTATTCGTATCTGAAAGTTATTTGAATACCATAAGTAAATAAGAATAGCAGACAAATATAAAAGTAATTAATTACCATCACTCCACTGTTTCCCTCGTGGATTGAGCGTCCATTTCTGCTTCCGGCGAGGTTCAGCAAGCATAGCCATTTTATCAAAATGCTTATATACCAGTACTTAATAACTGAATCGATAATTTAATAAAGTATACAGTTCAAGGCATTCAATTGACTCGTTAACACACGACAATTACATCAAAAGTCAAAGAAAACATAAGATACGATACAGTATCTTGCATGTATAAGCCCCGTACAGGCTAATGCGAAAGACCCCACGTTTTTTCCATTTTACTACCAAGAGCCAACCCCATTGTGGCGCCATCTCAAGACTCCATCATGAAGCGCATCTGTATGATTTACACTATTGGTTATATCGCGAAGTTTCACATGTTATTACAGAGATGGCAGCACCATCTTTGTCTCTAAATTTATCTTTATCAACAACCCCTTACTAACATTTCCATTTATGATTATGAGCGCCTTTCAAATCACGTTGCACGTGCTGCAAACGTCATAACTTCTTTCTCAAACATATTACAAAAACATACTACACAACCATATTTGCACTACTCGTAGCATGATTTGAAACCATTGCTTATAACGTATATCGATCTTCCAGTCAGCCGAATTGAAATAGAAGTGAGAATAACATTACGAAAAACACATTCTGCGCAGTGATTCATTTAATCGCTCGATCAATTACATTTGTTTCGGTTGTACTCAGTGCAGCGATTATACGAAAAACAGATTATGACTCAGAATCGGTTAGATAATATACTTTAACATACATTTCCATGAAATTAACAAAGCAGCCGCTCATAAAATCTATGAACAAAATTTGAAAACTGATAATAATTTTGCAAGTATCATCATATATTAATTAAGAATATAATAAAAATGTTGATACACACATATCCGGTTTGTAGATAACAACTTCCGTAAGTCTTTTTATTGCGATTGCAAACAGCCTTAAGGATTCCACTTAGCCAAATAATATTTATGAAGGCCACCAGCTTACTGGATGTCTCGTCGGTATGATCACGCATGTTTTACTATCATATATTAACACGGCGTCTGCAAAGATTATGACGTTTTATCTTGATTTCTTTTGGAAACTAGAGAGCCTGTCGTAACGAAGAAAATAACTTAAGGATAGTACAACGGATACTTATACTTAAAGGTGTCGAAAAAGAGTAGCAGTTTTCATAACGGTATTACAGCATGTATCACTGTCATGGGGCAGTGGGTCAAAGTTCATTATCGTTAAGGATTCCTTCGAATCTTTTATACTGTTGAACCCATCGTTATCTCTGAGCAACACTGGGGTCGATAAGGGTTCCAATAATTGACAGTAGTCACGCTGTCCCATCAGTACTCTCCCGACTTTCATTAAGTGCAGCTGGCCTGCTGTACAAGTCCAGCGCGCAGTGAGTGTAGTCAGCAGTATATTATACATTATACTTTGAACTTTGACACGCGTTTGGCAGCATTGTGAAATTCTTTTAAGCGGGTAATTCAAATTATGAATTTAGCATAAAGCCGCGCACGCACATTTTACCAAAGATTTTATTTGTTACGCTCAACTTTTTGGTGAACAATTTCGCACTATATTCGAATTTGTCAATAGTTCATTGAGTCAGAGAGAAGAGATATACATATATACACATACATAAACGTAAATAAAAGAGAGCGTTGAAACGTGTTTGACCGCATAATAAATGTTCCAGTTTGACTATATTACGAAAGGCACGGGGTGTCGTCTTTCAGTCGGTTACAGATACTGTGACAGTGAGCATGGAGGCGCTCGGTCAAGGTTGGTTCAGCGAGATTAACGATCTCTGGCCTGGTATCTCGCTGTCGCTCCAGGTCACGAAAATTCTCCACCAGGAAAAGTCGGCCTATCAGGATATCCTCGTGCTGGAGACGTGAGTCGATTCCGTAGTGGTATCGTATATCTATGTAACAATATAGAGAAAGTACTTCCAAATGCATGTAGTAAATTATGCTTCTACTACATTATAAAGGTTGCCCTTGCAACCTCTGACTTAATTTTCCAAACCGTAGTAAGTCCCACGGAAGAGTCCTCGTTCTGGACGGTATAATCCAGTGTACGGAGAAAGACGAGTTTTCCTACCAGGAGATGATCGCCTTCTTACCACTTTGCAGTCATCCTGATCCTAAAAACGTAAGTACAGTGTAGTCACTTACAGCCTGTATTCTCCTAGCTTACGAAAGGTCGGACGTACAGGGATACCTGAAAATCGTCATTGGTCAGTGATATCAAAAAAGATAAACCGCCGCGGCCGTTCTGAATAGCTCATTGAAATTTTTCTTAGCTTACAAGTAAGCTGTGAGACTGTTGTATAAAATAAATACAGGGAGAATGAAGCTTGTGATAAGTTGAACCGCCGTTAAAATATTTATTCAAAAATCTTTTACCAGGTCCTGATTGTTGGCGGTGGAGACGGTGGCGTGGCACGCGAAGTTGTCAAGCATCCGGGGGTCCAGACAATCACTCAGGTCGAAATAGACGCCAGCGTCCTCGCCGTGTCCAAGAGATACTTATCTTTCATGAGCGTAGGTCTAGAGCATCCTAAAGTCACACTCAAAGTGGATGACGGATTTGAATTCATGAAGCAACACACTGGACAATTCGACATTATCATAACAGACAGTAGCGACCCAGTGGGTGAGTTGCATACCGATGCCTATGTTTACACGGTGGTCTTATTCCCCTTTCGTTAATACTGATTTAAAGTAATTGACAAGTCACAGAGTTTTACTTATTAAAATTATTTATGATTAATCAATATCGTTGGATCAGTAGTGAAAAAAATAAAATACGACCACCGTGTAAACGTAATCGATGATTAATATCACGACTATGTACTAATCATTCTAATCTTCAACAGGACCTGCAGAGTGTCTCTTCCATGAGTCGTATTTCAGTTTAATGAAAACAGCCCTTAAGCCAGGCGGCATAGTTTGCAGTCAGGCCGGTACAGTCTGGGCGAATTTGGATCACGTGGCTCAAACGTTACGTCACTGCCGGTCAACCTTTCCAGTAGCATCTTACGGCGTCGCAACGGTGCCTACCTATCCCACTGGACAAATTGGTTTTGTTCTTGGAAGTCTCAATAAGGTTTGTACTTCTTTCACCTATCTGGGTGATACTACAATCATCCTCGCGACTACCTGACTGCCAGTGGACTCACGTTGATTCCTTATTTTTTATTTCTAACAGGAAACGAACTTCAAGGAACCGGTAAAGGTATTCCAAGAGAGTGAATTGGACCTTATGAACATGAAATATTACAATGATCAAGTTCACAGAGCATCCTTCGTCCTGCCAAGGTTTGCAGAGAAAGCCATGAATGCTTCCCGAAATCACTAGATCAGTACCATGCAAGGGGAGAATCACGTAACCATAACAAATGAATCACATATTCCTGGAATTATACTGTTAGACATTTTTTATTTAATGTATATCAATGATAGAGTATATCTTTAATATAATAATAATAATAATAATAAAAGCAATAAAATATAATAATTCAATAATCATTTTTAACACTCCGCAACGATAGACTTGTAAGGCTTATTTGGCTCCTTAAAAATAACGATTAAAAGTATCGCCCACTTTTTTTTGTCCCCGTGCATATGCAAAAGCATGTACATATGAAGTATACACAATAATAATAATAAGAATCTTAGATTGTCAAAAAATCGTTGCAGTGTTACGGTTGTAAAGACGGTCACAACATTTTTGTTACGCGTTAACAATAATAACCCGGTATACAATATATAATTCTTGTTAGTCTCAAATATATTTTTTTTTTGTTTCTACACCATACATATGGCACACGCTTTGTCTCGATTACACTCGACATATAGAATTAATGTGGTTAAGGTAAAGATTCGTGATTTTCAAAGGTATAGTACTTTCCGAATTTTATTTATATACCTGGAAGATCTTCATCGTGATTTCCATAGAGGCATCCTTGCCAAAATTACGAGGTCATCGCGTGACAATAATTTGTGTTACTTACACGATAATTAGTCTTCGATTCAATTCACTTTTTTATCTCAATTTTTCGTTATCGATTCTTTCGTTCGTATTTTTTATTAGTAAAGCATTGAATTTTTGGTAATGGTTAAACCCGAGCCGACACGCAATGGTACGTCGAGGTTATAATCTCGGGCGCACAATTTATATATATATTTATATATATCTTTACATTATAAAAATAGAGAAAGAAAGAACAAAATCAAGTTACAAGGTATGAAAGGAATAAGAAGTCAAGATAAATACACACGAAGGAGAATAGCAACTATCTTATTAATTAAAAATTACTCACGATGAAAGACGAGTAGAGAATGAGTGGTGAACGAATGAGGGTGTGAAAATGAAATGAACAAGGAAAGAAGATAAAATTAATTTGAGTTAGTTAACGATAAATGATACAGGAAATGGAACATAAGGTCAAGAGAGGAGAGGGAAGAGGGGAGAGGTGGAGACGAACGTGTGCGTGCGCAACGCCGTCGAAAAGAATTAATAAAATTAAACTGATATGTTGCTTCTCTGTTAATTCGTGGTTTTCTTAAAGTAATGTATTAACGTAAATTAATCATACGATATATTGTCGCTCTCTCCTCGTCGTTTCAATCTTGGAGACCCAAAAAAATTAATGAAAGAAGAAAAATGAAGTATAAAGCTATAATGAAGAAAGTCAATATGCAATCGGAGATGTCATTTTTTTTCGTAATTTGGCGAAACGACAGTTATATGTGTATATGTCACGTTTGATTGTTGCAATTTCTTTATATGTAATTTCTGCATATACATATTTACTTTTGTTTTGACGTTTACGATGGTTGCATTCTAGACGGCTGTCATGGCATACAACAAGCTCATACGTATAGTTTTTTTGTTTTATCAGTTAATTTTTTTACCAAGGCAATGGTACCCTTTTCCTTCTCTCAATTAGTTTTACAAGGCTAAATCTAAAGCACATCACGTCTCTATCTAAGGGCACTTATCTAGGCGTTTACGTCTAAGGCAATCGTGTACTCCTCCGGACAACTTGTTTATCATAATGGCGTCCCGTTCAATAGGGCGGCCGATAATAAAATTCATTCGAAAAGAGAAACGCGTAAAGAGAGAGATGTATACATATACATGGAGATGGAGAAATAGAGCTTGATTTAAAAAATATATGTCAAACGTATAAAACACGAACAGACAGGTCAGGGGAGCGATGGTAAATTGAAACTATGCCAATACCGACATTTTTAGGTTACCTTGTGCGCATTCGTTTCATTGAGAAGTTTTTCGGTTTAGATTGTTCTATTTCCTTTGCCCTCATCCGGGACGTCATTGCTCTTCGAAACGGAAAGTCTTGATGTTTGATTCTTGACGACTCGAGGTCGTCATCGTGACGGTTTTCTTTTCCGTCACTTTTTGAGTAGTGGATTGCTTCAGCATCTTCTGTTCGAGGGTCTGATTGTTGTCGAGGGTCTTGAAGGTAGAGAGATCCTTACCGGATGTCGAGAACTCCTTGGTCTCCTTCATAGTCTCAAAATTCGAACTGGTACTTTTACCAGGTGTAGACGTGTAGATCTTTGTTGTGATGGTCTCGACTCGTCCACCAGGTATCACCTTGTCCTCTACGTTCTTGAAGATTTGATCGTGCGGTAAAATAGTCGAGGACGGTGTCGCGTAGGAGCGCTGAGTGTCAATCTGCTTCTCTGATCTGAAGGTACTCATTGGACTTGGTGCGAAGATCCTCTCCGTCGAGTATTTGTATTCCTGGCTGGGGGAATAAGTGCGGTCGAAACTCTTATCCTCGGCGGAGTAACTCTGTTCTTGGAATTTTGAGTAGGATTGATCCTGGAAGGACTTCCTGGTTGGCGAGTTGGGTGAATATGGCGTCTGGTGTACTGCTCCATAAATACCGTCGGCAGAATTCTTCTGGTCAGTATAACTATCGTGATTGATCTTCCTCTCTATTGAACTGTACTGACTTGTAGCGTTGTCGCTCATGAATTTCCGGTCGTTCACGTTGTAAGAATTATCACTTATGTATTTCCGGTCGGTTGATCCATACTGATTGTCCACGTACTTCCTGTCCATTGACCCATATTGACTGTCTGTACAAGCAGGGCTGTACTGACTCTCCTTCATCTTCTTCTCCAGGGTACTCTGAGTCGAGTTCACCTTCTCCGGACTAACGAGGTTATGTCGATTGTTCGTAATGTGACTTATCTGCTGGGTAGTCGACTGAAGCTGGTCCAGAGTACTGTTCATAGACTGTATAGGTGACTGAACAGTCGGTGGTTCATAAGCTCGAGTCTCGTATCTGGTAGTGTAACTCTCGTAGCCGCTTTGGTCCAAGTCAGTATCCGTATCAGAGACATCTGATCTGTTCTTGTACTTTGCCTGGCGAATAGCTGTCAAACGTCCTCTGGCTTCTTCAAGTTCCCGCTCGATGCGGAGTACCTCAGAACGTGCATTTATTTCCTGAGCAATACCACCGACCATCCTACGATTCAGAACCAGGGAACGTTCCTCTTCCTGTTGAATAGCCTGTTGGGCGGCTCGTACCAGGTTATCCGTAGCACGTTTCACAGCATTTCCAGCAGCCTGAAGTCGCTTGGTGCTGTCACTATCAGGATCGGCCTTGACCTTGCAAGCCACTAGAAGTTGAGCAGTGCTGCTAGCAACTTGCTTGGCGCTGGAGACGAGTTTTTCCTCAGAGCTTAGACCTTGGACCAGGGCATTGGCAGATTCGACCAAGCTGTGCGTAGCTGCTGCTACCAATCTTGCAGCTGATATTAGACCCTCTGACCACTGACCGTCGTCGGAACTTGTCAACGGCGTCCTGGACACTTTGCCTGTTGCTATCAGTTCCCTCTGAGCTGAACTAGCCGCCTTTATCAGCGCGGAAGTCGCTGCTGCTATGGACTTGGCTGCTTCCAGGATCATCTCGTCGAAGTTCATATCCTCGTTCGCTTGCTGGAGAACGATAGAAGATACCAAGGTTAATATCGCAATCGTCCTTAATTACTAATAATTAAATATACTCCTTACGTATATAATTTAAATGATCTTTTACGCGTTGATCAGGTACACCATCATAATAATATGTTTGATTCCTGGTCGATTATGTACAAACAACCAAGAATATCAAACATATCTCACGGTAGTGCTCCAGGAAACGTCTTCATCTTCCTGGGACTTTGCTGAAAGTAAACATGAATTACATAAAGCTTTAAAGAAGACTCACCTCAATACTTCGTCGAGGTCTGAGACTAGCCAATTTTTTAGCAGCCGCATCTATACTGGCAGCTGCACCAAGCAGCTCGTTCTCGGCGATGACGGTAGGATCGTCAGGATCCACCCAGTCGTTACCCTTCAATAATTCAGCAACAGCTACGAGCTCCGTCACACTCTGAGCAATCTTCCTAGATATCGGTGGCAGCATATGCTTGGCCTCACCAGGTCTAGACGAGACCTGTAATATAGCCTGAAGAAGCTCTCTATAGTTCAAGGCAACATCATGGCCAGCCTGAAGAGTCCTATCTCTCAGTTCCGCTGTCTCGGCGCAGTTGTACGCAGCGCCCTTGCAGATGGTGAGCATGTCGCTTATCGACTTCCTGCCCATATTAGCAGCAGCTATAATATCATCCTGCTTGCAGCTGTTACCAGCAGCAACAGCCTTCGCCGTCGAGACAGTGATACTCTTTGTGCATCTGACAAGGTCCTCAGGTGTTACGTTGCTCTTCTGCATTTCCGGTGTATTCAGAGCACGTATTTCCTGACCGATAGCTTCGATAGTCGATTCCAAGGCTCTGGTTCCTCGCGTATGCTCATCCTCAACGGCCTTCACGGTCTTCAGGAGGGACGTGACATTGGTGACCATAACCTGGACATCACAGATGATACTTAAGGTCAGTTCACGATAACAAGACATATCCTTATCATGCTAACAATCAATACAGTGGTAGGAGAATTCCGTTCCCGAGTGCTATTAGTTGAGTCTCTCTATTAATTACTGAAACACAATAGTATTAGCTGTTAACTAAATTTTCTGTAAAAAAAAAGCTTCAATTACATATTATGGTTACTCATAGTGTCTCCCCAGTGAATAATAGTTAGCTATGTGGCTTTGAAAAAAAAAAAATTAGTACCCTTCGCCAATGAGGATCTGATAACGATCCTCCTACTGGCAATCAGATTTTGTTAGAACACCACACATTTATTTTGCTCAAACGAACTGTACGTACCTAGTGAGAGGCGGTCGCACTTGACAATAACGCTCAAGCATTAATGAAATATAACAATGACATAAACTAAACACGTGGTCTTCCTACGAAACCATAATAGAAACAAGTAATCAGCAAAATTGCCATTTTATTTGTAGCTTTACAGACCATCTAAAGCATCTGCCTGAGAAGTGGCTACATAAAAATAAATTGTCAACTCGACGAATGCTCCGCTCATGAAAATCAAGGAAAGGAAGAGACAGTGAGAATTAGAGAAAATAATAAAGACTATCCTCGACCGATATACGACAAGTGACACGGTAAGGGACTTTCTGATATGTGAAATTCTTGATTGGCCTGCATGCGTGCGCATACGCTTATGCAATGGAAATAAATCCTAAAGCGACACTGATAATCGCAATGACCGTCCAACGGTAAGAAGGAATAAGGTTGCGCGCGCAATTAAATCTAAAATGTATGACAAAGTGATAGAAAAATTAACAAAAAGTGAGAGAAACAGAGAGATAAAATTATTCTGTAAAGGAAATATAGTCTTAGTAGGTGACAGAGAGATTATTTTCTCCTGCTGCGACTACATCAGTAGAAAAATATCGGATGTTCGCTGTGCCGGCTGATTGTTCTCTGTGACCGACAGAAGCCGAATCAATTCCTCTTCCTGGTCGGACACGAACCACTCGGACTCGGAACCACCGACGTCAGTCGTCGCGACGCACTGCTGCTGGAGCTGATGCTCCAAGACCTATCCGGACCCATACCCCAAACCAGAGGAAAATCGTCAATAATTATTGACCGTATTAAAGTCCACCATTAATGTTAGCATATCAGCACAAGTGAACATTTTGACAGTTTTTATTTTTTTTCTTCAACTTTTGACGCTTCATGTGGATACTGCATTTGAAATTTGATAACTACTGTCACGTGTACTGACTGCTATCACAGCTACTGTCTTTTTGTACATATAGCAAAAGTAACACAGTTTTCACTACGCATTTTTTTTTTGAATTTTGTTCACACACATAGAAGAAGGATAGTTTGTGTACTAGAGAGAAAGAAAAAAAATAATAAAAAAAAAAATTACTGAGGAAGGCGATGCAAGGTGGACTTTAATATGGCATCGACGAGTTCCGGTTAACGGGGTGGGTTTTGTTTTTGAGTTTCACTTGTATGACCCACGGACACGATTTTTGCATTTGGCTTTCTCGAGGGCGATCGACGCGTCACGAGGATTAATTTTTTAATTTTTTTTTGTAAATCATTTAGTACAGGACTTCATGGTTCAAGAGACACGTGAGAAACATAATGAGGTCAGTTAGCGTTGAAGGGTGATGAATGGTATATGTATGTACAGATATTGAGTCAATTAAAGTCCACCCCAAAAAGAAAGAAAAATAAAAATTTCAGGAAACAAAAAAGAAAAGAAAAATAATAAAGGTATACAAGAGGAATAAAAGAAGATAAAAAAACAATGGTAATCAAACACAACACTATTAAAACGGGATAAATGTTAATAATCCTTTTATGAGGTATTAATCAGTTCCTAATTGACAAGCAGAATTAATTAGTCTAGCTAAAAATCATAGTGTTCGACACTTTCGTTATTCCCAATTAATTCTCATGTCAATCAGTTGGTAGGTAATGCAGATTCTAAATTATTCTGACCGAATTTTTCCTAGGGCTCTTTTCATAGACACTGGGTCCATTAAGAAGATTCCGTTACGAGATTACTGAAGCTGTGAAGATCAATTAGTAGCCTGGTGTTAAAATAATTAGAGATTTAAAAGCTTAATAAGAATTGAGTATCAGGCAAATGCAAAGGAAAGGTGTAATGATCCTACCTTAGCAGAATCCTTTAGATGCGCCATACTAGGATCATTTATGGGCTTTCCACTGGCCGCCTTAGTCGCATGGATGAGGTCACCTAGTGCAGATGCCACGTCCTTAACGGCATTGATAAGCATCACCTGGGCCTCAGGATTTTGACTTCCCAGACTGGCAGCCCCATATTTAACAACTTCAGCAAGTTGAACGATTGTAGATACGGCATTCTGTGCGGCTACCGCAAGTTGTTCCTGGGAGGATGCTGCACCAGCTACCAGAGTCTTGGTATCCTCCACAAGAGCCTTGGCGGTTTTCAAAATATTCTCACGATGATCAGCGAAAGTATCGCCCTCGTTCTCAGCGTGGAGAGTACCGGCAGTGGCAAACATGATGGTGGTATCCAGGTCGCCGATAATGCCCGATACAGTGCTGGCTGCATTGATGCACGCCTGGGTTCCTCGGGAACCAGCCTGAAGAGCTGCTAATACTTGCGACACCTTCTCCGTGACGTTCTTACTATGTTCCGTAACCTCGCGTTGAGCGTATGCATCTCGGGGTGACATCTGACACGCACCAGCTGCTCTCACTATGTCCACGCAAGCGCGACCAAGTTCCTGCACACCTGTACGAAGTCTGGAGGAGACATCGGAGTTCGATGCTGCTGCAGAAGCACCGGAAGTATCGCGTGCCAGTTGGGTGTACTTGTGAGATATGTCCACAGCTAGCGGACCCAATCTGGTGACGTCTGTACTGGACTTGGTAGACATATCTTGTCCCAGACGAGCTATTTCCTTGGCAGCTTCCACCATTCTGGTTTGATAGTCCACATAGGAATCTACTGTGTCGATGGTCGAGGTCCTGTGATCCTCCAGTCTCACCATAGCTCTGGATATAGCATCGATAAGTCCAGTCACTATACCGTTAGACGTAGAAATTGTTTCCAAAGTGTTTTGAAGTTCCTGAAGAGCATCTTTTGTAGACTCCACAGTCTCGTCGACTTCATTGTGTAGATTTATCGCTTTGGGATTTCCACCAGATTCCTTGGTCACGTAGACTAATTGTAGAACTGATTCTACCACCGTCTTCGTCTGGTCCAATAGAACCATTTGCTGTTTAGAATGCACCATGTTAAGGGTAGCCCCAATAGCACCGGATACCAACGGCTCACAATAGAGGGCCACCTGATTGACATCGTGACCAATGTTCTCAGCCTCATATTTAGCTGCAGTGCGTAAAGGCTCCAATTTTTCACGCAGTTCACTGGCGCTGCTTTGCATTTGATCAGTGAAACCCTGGACCATGTTTTCTTTTCTGGGTGCAGAACTCATAGACGCTTCGCTTAGAGGAGCAGCGTCCAGTTCACGGATACGCGTAGAAAGCATCTCTATAGCAGCGTCGCACTCCTTTTGTCCGGGTGCCTTGTCCCGAATGGAAGCAACCAGGGACTTAATTGAATCGCTAACACTCTTGCTATGATTGGCCAGGAGCTTCCAAGTCGGCGGGTCCTTAGGACTGACGGCAAGGCTCTTGGCAGCCTGGACCATGGCGCAGGAACCATCGATCATAGCTTTGCCAGCGCTCGTTATGGGTTCCTGGGCAGCCCGCGCAGCAACAGATATCTTAGCAGGCTGACTGGCAAATTCTGGTGACCCGGCGAAGGTGCAAAGGTTATCGACAGCGTCTAGTAGCGGTTTCGTAGCTTCAGCACATTTCTCACGGTTGGCCTCAGAATAATCCTTATCCAGGGCTTTGATTTCCTTCACCAGACTGGCAGTGGAGTTGGCTACGTCTTTGGCAGACTGTACAAAGTGTCTCTTGGCGACAGGGTTGCTGGTCTTGCTGGAGGCCAGTCTGCAGGCGTTACAGAGTGCGCTGGTGTGCTTTGCTATCTTCGTAGCAGCCAGAACTACCTGATCGTGACTACTGGTGGGATTTCCTAGACTCTGACATCCTGTATGAATAGCCTGAGCGGCTCTGAGAAATTGAGCCTGATCTACGAGGCCAGGTTTACCAGCAACGGACGTAGGATCGCTAACCCCTGCTAAATAGGCTGCCTGGGCAGCAGCTTCGATAAGACCGCAGATGGAGGATGACACTCCCCGAACAGCGACTGAGAAATCCTCGTATTCTGACTTCTTGGCGTGATTTGCTATTCCCGTCATGCCATCTCCTAGATTCTTACTCTTCTCCATCACGGTTTCCAAACATTCAAAGTAAGAAGCGTCGGAGATGGGTTCACTAGGATTATCCAATAAAGATCTCATAGACTGTATGTTCCTAATGGCGTTGTCACACTCTATCTGCCCTGGTGCAGCCGACGTACATACGTCTACCAGGTAGTTAATGGAATCCGTTACAGCACGCGCAGCAGCCGACAATTGATTCTTGGCATTGGGAGCGTTGGGATCAGCTGCCACAAATTTGGCAGTCACCAAGAGTTTGCTAGAGGTCATACTAACGTTCTTCAAGGATACCACCATCTGACCTCGGGTTTCTGTAGTGGTTTGACCTGCCATTTCCATTCCGACACCAAGCAAGTCACCAAATGCGTTTGTAAACTGTTCTGAAGAACTGGCCAGTTGAACTGGTGATCGAACCGAGGAGACCACGTTTGACGAAGCATCGTTTAGGTTGGCTGCAGCGTTATTCAGGTCGTATTGAAGTTGCCTGCACAAGCAAATAGAATACCTTACTCGTACATTATTGGAAATATTAATGACGTGCTACGTAATAGACGAGCAGTCATTCTTTTTACAACTGATAAGGAATAATAGCTGTGGTCAATATTGATATTCCTCGACGCTATCTTCGCTAGGTGTAATGAAAACTGTTCTACTTACCCGTAGCTTTTGTTCGTCTGCGGGAACTCGTTCATGTTCAAAACTTGACTCATGTCATTGATGCTACGAATGGCATTGTCCACATCCCTCTGTCCAGGTAGACAGGACACGCACTTGTTCAGAGAACTTGACACGTCCTTGGCAACTGCTGCGAGGTTAGCCTCGTTCTCAGGATTGTCAGGATTTTTAAGAGCACGTCTGGCCTCCTTGACAAGGTAAAGAGAGCGCAGAATAACGTCGTCGGCAGTCATCAGAACCTTCTTCTGAGTCTCAGGTTGATTCGAGGTAGCAGCTACCCCACGTACAGCAGAAGTAAGGTCTTTCAGAGCAGATGCAGTTTCTCTGGCAGCACTTCCAGTGTAATTCTCATTTCCTTGCTTGGCAGCAGAAAGAAGTTGTGCCATGGCAAAGCCGACGTTCTTCGAAGTGATTCCTACTTGCAGAGCAGCAGATTCAGTAGTTTCACCAGGAAGTGGTCTCAAACTAGCTGCCTCTACTGCACGGTAGAATTCTCCAAGTTCATCCTTCAGGCTGTTTATTAATTCTTCGGCGGCATCAAGTTCCAGGCCACCACAAGCTTCCCTAGCGCGAGTTACAGCTGATCTCAGATCAGCTAATGATGATCCAAGATGTTGGGATGTAGTATTCAGTTGCATGGCCGAGGACTGATCAGTGACAGTTGGCAGCACTGCTCTAGTTGCTTTAACTACGGCCGTGCCGGGTTGCAGGAATTGCTCGGACGCGTTAATGAGATTAAGCTGTGCTGTAGGATTATCAGGCTGGGCCAGGGTACCCTTAACACCTGCTACGAGGTGTGGTATATGTTGAGCCATGGCACGACACTCCGCATTGAGTTCTTCTTGACTGGATGGATTGGTGTTGTGATGACCAGCGCCAGAGGATGCGGCAATGCACTGAGTGGCTGTAGAAGCAGCTTGCTTGGCACAGGCTTCTAATCTGCCAATAAGTTTCCTACGTAGCGCAGGAGTAGCAGCGGCTGTGGTAGCTATTCTGAGTTCCTCAGCAGCTTGACGCAACTGATCTTGCATCTTAGCATCGTGAGGACTGCTGGCGCACTGTCTAGCAGCCTCCACCATCTTTGCAGTGGCGTCGGCCAGTACTTTTGCAGCAGCAAGTAATCTTCGTTGCTGCTCAGAGTCCGTCTGTTTTTCAGCTTCGCCTTTTATGCTCTGAATGAGCTGCGCTGTCGCCTGACCCACCACCCTGGCCTGACGCACCATCTCGCCAGCATCTCCAGTACTAGCGAATAGTTTATCCGTGGCGACGAGGATGGTCTCCACGGCACCCTCTTGCACGGATTCCTTAGCTCTTTCGCCTCTGGTCGCTGTCTTTATATGATTTAGTAAATCGTTCAGAGTCCTGCTGACATCGGCAGCTGCTGCACTCAACTCCTTCAGAAGATTATCATCTCCGCAGGTCTCATTGCAGACCTGAATAAGACCCTCGACAGCTTTGGTGACCTCGCGCACTGCGTTCATCAATTGCGTTTGACAAGCTGGAGAGTGTAGAGTCGGTGCAACGACCTTAGCACAAGCGACGAGTTGAGAGGTTGCCAAGGCACACTGCGTAGCTGCTGAGATGACCTTATTCTGAGTCGTAGAGTCCTCGCAAGTGGCAGCGATATTCTTCGCCTTTAAAACCAGGGCAGCTGTAGTGTTAGCAACGGCTTTAGCAAGGGCCAGAAGCATGTCCTGGAGTTCACGATTCGAGTCATTCTCTTCTCCAATAGTAGTGAGGACCTGGTGAGAAGCTTCGCCCACTCGAGATGCAGCATTGAGAAGATTCTGCCGCGGCTATAAAGATACAACGTCAATTTTTATTCTCATTAGAAAAAGAAACCAACACCAGATGCGCGTACTCTAGAAGGTACTCTGATCTAGACTAAAAACTATAGTCAATTTTAACATTCAATGATTTTACTCAGTGCTTACATATTGTCCATAGAGAGTAGACGTTATATAGAAAGGCTGTAGAGAAAAGTGACTTTTGAAACAGACCTGCTTGATATTCTCATTACCATTCAACAGTGATACGAGAATCAAACGAACCTCTTTGGTCTCCGGCTCGGTGGCCTTGAGAAGATCCGAGAAGGCTGAGCAGAGCTTCCTGGCAGCGTCTAGAAGTCTGTCGCCAGAATTTTCATCCTCCATCAGAGCAGCTATCATTCTCACGCCCTTTGTCATTTCCGGTAAGTTTGTGGCGATCGTCGAGATGGCAGCACCGACTGCAGTATGATCAACGTCGTCGGCGGGTCCTGATGTCAGGGTGACGACCTGAGCCGTGGCCGCATTCATGGCCGCTATTTGCGACCCTACATTCTGCTTATGGGTATCAATCGTCTGCTCGATCCACTTCAAGGAAGCTGGATCTGTACCCAGTTCCGGAAGTTGAGCCTTGCTCGAGAGTTCATTCTCCGCAGTTTGGATGACCTCGTGACCCGCTGTGATGGTCGAGAGTAAGGCACGTTGCGGTTCAGACAGGACGGACGTGACTTTCGTTTGTTGCACCTAAATCAGCAACGATTCTTTTTATATAATTCCAAATTCAAGACAGAGTATAATACCCGGGCGATCCTTCTTGAAATAGCCTCACCTTTCACAACATTACCCAAGAAACGCACGAGTACTTTACTTCTGTGATATTCATTAAAACCATGCACTAAACCTCATTTTGTTTAATTTCAAAAGTTTAAGAACTAGACACTGTAAAAGACATCTGTGATATGGAAAAAAAAAGAAGAAAAAAAATTGGTAACCAATGAGAATACACAATAAAAAGGAATCGAAACGGGAAAACCTAGAAAATTTGTGTGACGATCTACGTTACTGATTCACGAATAACGTTAAATAAAAGGAGCGAAACAGAAAAAAGCAAAAAGTACCAATTGTGAATAAAAATAAGCAAACGTGACAAAACGTTATCAAATCTTGTGAGAAGAGTGTTTATCATTGATGTACCTACTCTTTGTCCATAATACAGGGCGCCTAGCATGAAAAGAAACAAAGAAAAATTCAACCGATCGTTACTAGGTCCGACATTGAGTATTCTCGGCTACTGGGCGACTCTTATATACACACGCAATAGTGACAATTCGATTTGACAGAGTTTGATATATTATTTTTTAATTTCCTTTTCATTTAACAAATGCTCTAATCTTTCAGAAAATCATAATTTGCACCGTGGATATGCTGCGGTCCTACAGAGATTAAGCTACTGCCGTTAATTGTAAATGAAATTGCTGTAAAATTTCTATACTCCTGCCGAGGATCAAATGTGATCATCAAGTGTTTGAGATAATTTGCAAATACGACGTTATTAGGTAGAAAAAAAAATACAAAACGTCTTTTATCAATGCATTAATAATCATCGGCAGGAGCTGCGACCTATCCAGCCTTTCGTCCAGTCCTTACCATTGGTGGAGCGTGCGCGATGTTCACCTGCCCGCTGACTGTCGTGTATTGAGCACCTCCCATGTGCCCAGTTCCATATGGTCGAGCCCCTACAAACCGTATCATGCAGTCTAGCCTATACAGTTAGCCTAATATATGTATATACAAGAGGATGATCATGTGCGTTTGCGTTAAACTTCATCGAGTATTATAGAACTTGTCGTAAAAGCCATTTTATATACTCATTATATACTGATCAAAAGATTCGACTGTACGAGATAGTGTATATACATGGTTTGCGTTGTATGTACAAAAACAAACAAAAAAACGTACAAGAAGATACGGCAACGTATATGAAATAAACAAGAATACAAAAGAAATCATTCAGAACGAAAACGTGAGGATGGGTTTTTTTGAAATGACATTTACGAATAAAAAAAGGGCCTTTTGGAGTTTCACTCACCATCTCCACCGGCTCTCATCACTGCTGGTATAGCTACAGAGACGGCTTCTACGTTTCCTTTACCCACGTTGCTGGTTTCGTGTTGCATTATTGTCGCTCTGTGCATAGAAGAGTAAGAAAATTATTTATTTTTACTGCCTTGTACTTTTCATTAAGACGCACTTGTAACGTTGTCTAAGGAATTCCTCCATTTTGTGTAATGTCAATGAAAAAGCAGGAGAACGATCTTAATCGAATGACAATTGGAACTGAAGTAACGAGTAAGCAGCAACATTAAGTGTACTGGACTAATGATACTAATGACTGCTAACTGGAATTATTGACTCCGTCCAATGAGGATCTAATTAATAAATAGTTATGCAAAGGCTCACTTAAGAGGAGATACGCTGTCCTCGACCATAGTAGATCCTTCATCACCTTCGATGCCAAAGTGATCTTTAGCCTTTTGCTTCTTGAGGATGATGTCTATGTATCCGGATATTAATTGTAAAATCTGTTCAGCTTCAGTGGTCTGTACACTGTAGTACTGATCGGAATAGTCGCCGAAGTCGAGAGTAAAAGTGTTGGGCGAGGCTCCCCAACGTCTGACAGTTGTCAGCGGCCACGTCTTTAAGATTTCCTTAGTCCTCTCGTCCAGTCTCAGGACAGAGTCCTTGGTAACACCCAGGAGACGGGGTACCAGCTTATTCTTACCCTTCATTTTTTCCTTCACCAGGAAGAAGGTTACACCGTAAGTACTCAATGACCTGGCGGTTTTCGTGTAGATGACCTTAGCGTCCAGTTCAGAAAGTCCCACGTGCTTCTTGTGCTCCGCAAAGATTTTCTTCTCAATACCCTTAACTTTCAGGTAAGACTGCGGTAGAAACTCCTTCAGACTACAACCGGATATACAGGTAGTTTCAAGACATCATCCCCTAGGTAGAATGTGAATAGATAACGGGTAAAGTCTGTCCTATACTCACTCTAAAAATCCAGGCTTGTGTTTGTCTTCCTTATAATCGCCAAACTGTATTTGACATTGAATACCGGCAAAGATGCACGCTTTCTCCTGGGTTACCGGATGCGTACCGTCCAAGATGGCGTCTCTGGCTTGTACATAGAGCAAGGACAATTGAACAGGATCACGACTGTCGATATTCTGATCAGAGAAGAAAAACTTTCTTCTGAGTAAAACTGTCTCGCTCTCATCGATACCCTGTTCGCGAAGAGTCTTGCTGGGATCAATCCAATTGACTGGAACAGACAGTTATCCTTTAGTATTACATTGAATATACAGTGTCACGTGAAGTATGTCGGGAGAGTCTGTTAAATAAACCTAAACCCACCCTCGTCGTCTGTCTTGAGTTTCTTTCTCAGCTGATCCATCTTCGCATCCCTCTCTCCCTTGTCGTCCTTCCTCCTCTTAAGAGTGAGAGTGCCGAAATTTCCAGGCTTCTGATTTTCAGTTTCCTCGTCAACCAGCTCCCTCACTAAGGAGTACTCGTCGTGATTCGTTATACCAATTTTCGTGCAGATTACCACCATGAGATTAGCCACGGGCTGACTGTCGTCCACCAGTAATGTCTTCAAGGTACCGTCGAGCATACGCACCCTGAGGGTTCTCAACTTCCGTCGATATTCCAGCTGATCTCCATTCCTTAAGATGTAATAATCAAGATTTCTACCAGGCTCGAGCCAAACGCCCTTCTTCACATCATCGTCTGAGAGGAAGAGGCTGTAGTCCTTGGCTGTAAAAAAAATTCAATCATCATCATCCTAAACTCAGAAATCCCGCTGACCCATCAAGATCCATTTAACTTTCTGCACTGTAATCAGAAATATTACTCACGTTGTCCCATATTCGAGGCGTCAGCTAATTTTTCTCTAATTATCCGACACGCGTCGTACACCGACGTGTTCGGATCGAACTGCATCATCTTCGTCGCATTCTTCTCCGGTATGGAGATTCGCAGGGACAGGGTAGCCATTGCGATTGCCGTGGGCGATCTTCTGCGAGCTCGAAATCCTCCCGAGTCACTCGACTGAAACAATCCAAAAAATTCATACCCATTAAGAGTCTGATATTTTAAAAAAGAGGTACAACATTTTTGTAAATAATTTTTCATAACTCCCGCTAAAAAAATAAACTAAAGATACCGTATCCGTGGTAAACTATACGTAAGCATTGACTGCTTCCCCATTAAAGCTGAATGCAACAAGTTGCATCGCCACCGGGTTAATATCCAGCCCATTTCCTTGGGGTGGATTGTGAGAAAAGGGAGTCATCCTCGACAAGTATCGTTCTCCCTGTCTTTCCTGTGCACTTTTTTTATCTTCGCGAAATTACATTTGTTAAATTTGCATACGCAAGACCTATGCGCTCTCAGGTGTACACGAGGTGCTCGTATTTTGGAGCACCTGAAAAGAAATCTAGAATTAAACGTGACCTGCGGCCACAAATGACAAGTGAGGGAAAGATAAGCAGAGGGGGGGGGGGTAGAGAGAGATGAACAGAGACATGAAAAGTTCTCATAGGACTTCTGTCTATATATTGATCTCCCATGGCATGGTACATTTGCCATAGAATTTGCCACGGGGTGCAGCATGCCCGCCATAGGCGTAGATGCGAACGTGTTCGTAAAATGTGAACTTAGAAAGTGAAAGCTAATATAGAAATCGATTCAACGAAAATTACGAAAATTCGATTAATCGAATATCTATATGATTAATTAACTGACAAAAGAAAAATAAATTTGTTCACACCTTGTAATCGACTTTTTCTCTATCGAGTAAAATATTTATACCCTTATACACGACAGTGTCCCAAAAAAAAGGACAAATAGAATATTTTCGAAAATATCGAACGAAAAGTCGATAAAACGTGCTCTCGATATTTTTAATAAAAAAATTATATTATAAAACGAAATGTCGTTTATTTAACGAAAGCAGTTCATGCAGCAGACACTCAATTGACAAGCGTACTCGTTCGGTCAGTGACTTCCGAGGTGGGAGGGAGAGGGGTTTACTTTAGGGGTTGCAAGGGGGTGCGAGGTTATATATGGCTAATATGTATGAGGCTTAAAGGAAAAGACAGAGAGATAGAGCGAGAAAGAGAGGGGGGGGAGAGAGAGAGAGAGAGAGAGAGAGAGAAGCGGCAAGCCGAGGTAAGTTATGCCCCTTACTAAGGGGTTGGAGGAAAATTTAGTAAGGGTTGCCCTACGCCAATGGACTTCCACCCTTAGAATCGTTGCCAAGCAACGCCGGCTCCGACTGTGTCAAACTCGAGCATAAACCCCTACCCGGTCTTTGACACCCTCACCCACCCTTCATCCCCCATCCACCTCTTCCTTCAACTCCCTCACCTTCCTGTCCTACAATCGGTTCCTTCGGCACCTTCGCTGTCACTACTACCACGCTTAAAAAACAAAATCTGAGAAGTGCATGGGGGGGG